CCTACAGTTAAAAAACACGAGATAACCAAGGCTAAAAAGTTTTTTAGCTTTCAGGATATTGATGTTCATTCATTGTACTAATATTTAAAAACGATGGAAATAAAATTTTATTTCGTCCAGAGCAGAGCATACATATTTTTGGTGATTCGCTCACATGACAAAAGGCACCGCGATTAAAAACTCAGTTTTGAAGCTTTTTTAATTACTTGGTGGCCAATTCACTTAAGACTATACTTTCCACAATCGTTCAGCGGATTGCCTCGATCTCCCGAGTCATTTCAAAATCATCATCAGCACTGATACAAGGAGAACCGGGATTTTGATTAACGATTCGGTAAAAATTAACGCAACCGTCTGCATAGAACTGAAATCTATAAATAAGCTGAATATATGGAAACCACCTGAATGTTCCGGATTGCCCCGATTTTTTGCAACTATTGGGAAGCACGAGACCCTCTTGAAAGTTATTTAAAAACCAGTCTTTATAGAGGTGTTCTAGTTCTATTCATGAAGGCGATCGCGACCGCGTCCCTCATCCTGATTGTCCGACTCCCGCAGACGTTTCAGAGTTTACAATAGGCACTAGCCTGCATAACAGGCGCTTTACGAGCCAGACGAGGCGAAGGCGGCATTTTGCGCGAAGCGCGAGACAAGCGCGAATCAAAAAGCGCCTGTTATGGTAGGCTATGTAAGCACTCGCAGTGTAGTGTAGTATAGTGCCATTACAGTAGCGTAGCGTAGTGTAGTGGTACTTTTAGTAGCAGCGTAGAGTAGCTAGTGTAGTGTAGTTGAGTTGAGTTGAGCTCGGCACTAATACAAAAACAGCTAAGCTGCAGCGCCACTATCTTGTAGGACGTCTTATATTGGCAATATACATGTCATTGCCGACCGAGTGACTGACACCAGTGATTGTATATTGCCCGCAACTTCCAAATTTGGTCAGCGCTAGTTGGCTATGAACAATTAGACGGGGGATAAGACCAATCAGGAACGGCGAAATTTGGTGAATGAATAATAATCAGCAAGATTCACTTGATAGTGAGTGGTAAATGCGTGATCCTGACTAAAAGACGGAGCTAAATGGCTCGCAAGAACTACGGTACATTACTTTACACACATACATACATAAACTTTATTTACATTCGAATTTTAGAGTATTGTACAGAGCTGATATCTTCGTGCCGCCACTGTACGACTTGGTGGCATAGCCTGAGAAATCTTAGTTGTCTTTTAAGGCTAGCATATATATGTAGGCACACACAAGTCAAACTTCAGACATTCTTAGCATTACTGTGACAGACCAAAAAGATCTCCGTCAGCCAGATAGGGTAAACCGACGCGAAACATCAGCGGAGCCCCTGCCAGTTAAGCGACAAATTAAGCTGAAATTTAGCAATAGTGTGGATCTTGTAATTTTCAGCCAAAATTTAAGGTGTTTTTATTCTTCAGGCTTCGACATAATTTTCGCGCATGGCGAGGAATAGACAGCTGCATTAGAGAAGTAACCAAAAACTAAATATCTGAGAGATCATAGTGATCATTTCCTCTTATATCCAAATTGTCACTCGTAAATTAATTCTAAAAAGAAATCAAAGTCCCAAAGGCAAGAGGCTTATGTTTGACAGGTAAAATAAACAAACAACTGTTCTTAATTTCGAAAGAGTTGTAAAGATTAATTAATTTACCCCAGTGAAACCTGACGTAATCCTTTAAGACCCAGTTTCACAGACAAGTCTCAATACACTACCTTACAGTGGCGGATCCAGACCTTGAGATAAGGGGGTTGCCGGTCATCCAGACCCTTAGATAAGGGGGTGGGGGGGCGGGCGGGCCTCAGTTTGGTCTAGAAATAAGGGGGGACGGGTCCCCCGGGACCCTCCCCTGGATCCGCCTCTGCCTTCAAGCATAAGATGAAAGAATCTCATAAAAAAAAAGCACTTCCCTTTTAGATGATCATTTTATTAATTCTCTTAACCATTCCTCGTCATTATATATTGATATTACTAGGAGAACATTGATGTTGGCCGCTCTTGGGACTTAAAGATTTAAGCCTATGGCCTTGAATCTCGATCAAGTTATTTTTTATCACACAATCATCAAACTGATATCAGATATAGTTACGAGGCCCCCAGTATCGAAACTAATGTCGAAGCAAAATTCGTCGCACAAAAGAATTCCGGGAAATCTATTTTTATCTTCGTAGTTCTGGCACTTGATGCCTGTGAAATTATCATTCTGACTCATCTGGATTTTCCTATGTGATAACAGCTTGCTGGAGGTTGTCGTTGTCAGTGAGCATTGCTCCGCCGTTTATTGCAGAGGACTCATTCACAACTCTTTCGACCAACGAGCTGCTGCTCCTCGTTTTACCCTTGAAACTCCCCTTACCACTTGACCGCCGTTCCTTTGCACCAAACTGCCGTTTGCTGTCGCTTTCGTCGTCAGGTGGGAAGTCCTCCTCAGTTAGAAGGGAATGAGTAAAGCTCCTGGGGCTTCCTTTACGAGCAACAAAACTCAAGAAACTCCCATTGCGACTAGACTTCCAGCTGCTGTCGCTGACACCATCCAGGTTATCATCCGTAAAAGAACGAGCATAGCTTTTGACACTAGCTGTGCGATCACGATTTAGGCTATTAACGCTTTCTTTCCTCTTTGTAAGGCTAGATTTCCTCGCCTTTACACCAGACTGCTCGGTTTCTTTGTCGCTATTAACCAATAACTCTAAAGCATCGTCCGTTTGTGAATGGGCAGAGCTTCGGAGAGACTCTTTACGGCTATAGGCTCTTGGTCTTGCATTTTCGCTTTCGCTATCGTCTTTGACTGTTCCAGGAAAGGTCGTAATCAAATGATCTGTGACATTGCTACTATGAGGCCCTCGGGAGGCTTCTTCGGTGTTTGAAGTCTCAACCATGCTCTCCAAGCCCGGCATGTCATCTGCGGGGTCAGTGTTTTTTCGAGTTACTCTTCTTTTAGTAAGAAGCAAAGCGAATGGTATCACTGCTCCAAACATCACAACACTACCCGCCATGTAGAACGCGCCACTATATGACCCAAGTTTGTCAGCCACTAAGCCTACAGAAAGATAAAAGAGGAAATCGAAGATTGCTTACTCTGGCTTTTTCTTACTAGAACAACAACAACAACAACAACAACAACAACATCAACAATAGGGCCAGCAAAAGGGATTCTTAATTTTAGCCATTCAAAGGGCAAGGCATCATATAAGCTAAATTTGTCAACCATTAGGCCTTACGGTATGATTTGAATTCGAAAGTTTTTCTTAAAAAAAATGGAGTCAACTCCTTCTAAGGCGGACATCTTTGGGACCGATACTGTGTATCCGTCTTAGAGAGATGCTCCTTCTTTTTTTTTAAGAATTAACTAAAAGGAGAAGAGAAAGGCGGGGCCAAGGGTATATTATAGAGAGTAAACTAAAAGTTATAAAGAAAGATATTAGGACCAACGCTAGGCGCCCGTCTTATAGAGATGTCCGTTAAGGGAGATCTGACAGTTATCTATAACATTGGCTTGCTTGATAGCGAGGCTCTCGCGCGCGAAGCGCACCAGCGGAGCACCAAGGGGAAGAAAATTGTTTAAACTATCCATCCGAGAAAATTTTGCGTAGCGTACGAACGACCGTCCGTACTCCCACTACATGTAAGCCGATGCCAAATGTCAGGTTAATTTGGCGGGAAAGCGTCTGGCCACCCGCGTCTTGTGAAGCAGACACAACTAAAGAAGGAAAAAAAGGAGACATTTTCTGTTGAAGGAACAAAATTAAATTTTGTAGCGGCGGGATGCTAGCGGCCACCAGGGTGAAAATGAGCGAGAGTGAAAAAAGAGTGAACAAGAACACGTCCGACATTCCCTCCATAAAACTTGTAACTAGGAAGGAAGTTTGTGGGAGTTTCACGTAACAGTCGTGCAAAACAACGGCAAAGAAATGTACAAAAAAAGTGTCCTGCACGTGCAAAGTGGCTTGTTTGCTAATTAGACCTATTGTTGTTGCTTTTTTTACCGTTCTCGTTGCCTTCACCGGTTAGCATTATATGATTTTATATTTTGTTTGAACAATCTATTAAAATTATCGAGAGCTTCGCTTTTAGCCTTGGCTAAATCTATATATTACTTACATGAGGTCAGTAAACGTTTCCCTAAACATTCGGTTACCAGCTCACATACGGAATGCAACCGACCAGCAAACACACCGAAACTTTTAATAAAGTTTCGGTGTGCTTGGTGGTCAGTTTTGGCGAGACAAAGGTTCAAAGAAAGCGAGAATTAAAAAATATCCTCAAGTAGATTAAGGCGTGGATCTAAGTCATTTATGGTTTTTATGTATAGTTTCTAAAAACTATGGTTAAAGACATCCATGAGGAATGATATGTGGTACAGTAAACTAAACTTTAAAAAGACTAAATTATTTGTTCACGTGATTGACCACGCCCTCCATTGTTTGAAAATTGTAAACAACGATTCCCACCACTTGCCAAACGAGTGGCTCCAGTTTCTCTGTATCAAAACAATGTCCCTACAAAGTGTCTACGAAATCAGCTCGAAATAGTTCGAAGCATTCCAACTGGCCGGTGCAATTGGTGTTTATTGACTACTGCCAGTCTTCCCCTAACTAAAATTTTCGACGGGAGAAAGACGTTTATTGACCTCACCTCATTCCGATTGTTTAAACGAGAAGACTATTAGTAGCCACTTTTCGGACCTACTAAGGGAAACGGTTTGCTTTCTATCTGGTCGGAATTTCGACTCACAGGATTTCTCGATAAAACAGGGCTTGGTTGGTCACGTGATGCAGTTATAAAAAAATTTAAATGAAATTGGAGGATATCTTGGTTAAGATTGGCCTTAGTCATGGGATATCTTGAAAATACTTTAATACGTTAATTCCACCCCCGCTTTAAAAATTCTGAATAATCTGTAACCCAGGCCTTAAGCTACTTGAGTTTGTTGCAGGGAACGCTTCCTTTACCCCGGGGCAAAAAAAACCTACCAGCAAGAGGTGGACCACTGGCCATAAAAATTGTTGTAAACTGCATGTTCCACCCAAGAGCAGCTGCCCGTTTTGATGCATCTACACTCGTCAGAAGAATAATATTCAGGGTTGTGATGAATATTCCGTCACAAAATCCGTAGATGACTACAAATACTATCATAGCTGTGTAATCGTTTGCCACGGTAACAAGTATCGTTGATAGACCGACAACAAACTCGGCTGATTGATAAAGGTAAACAGGATTTATTCCTCGGATGTCACATAAGCGGCCTGCTAGGACACGTGCAATGGCTGATGATAATCCGTAGTAAATGTACAACTTGGACGCCATGTCAGCAGTTATGCCAAGGTCCTCACAGAATCGCACCTGGAAAAAAACAAATCACAATATACACAATCTCCCTCCCCTATCATGTATTTCTGCTCCGAGCATTTTGCCTCCTTGGTCCCTGTTTAAAACTCGTTCCGGGTTTAAAATGATACAGAATAATCCCTATATCAAACTCTCAAAGGAACAAAAAATTGTTCGACTTAATTGCTCAGCCAGAAGGGAATTAAAGTAAAATTCAGTTACTTTGGGTTGGGTTAAAGTTCTAGTTTGATATGCGAGTCAAGTGAAAATTGCTTTCTCTTCTGTTACAGAGGATTCATTCACAGCTCCTTCGACTATGGGCTCCCGCTCCTCATTTTCACTTAAAACTCTCCTTACTCGGTTCCCTTAGGTAAAGCTACCGTTCGGTCTTATTTTCCTCCCGCAGTCAGATGAGTAGTCTTCCTCACTTTTTTTAATAACGATCAACAAATCTCAAGACACTGACCCTTTGAAACAAGACCTTTAGTCGCATGCCTTTAGCTTTCACTTTTCACGATATCATCCGTTGAGGAAGATGCAGAGCTATTGATACAAGCAGTACGGTCAAGGTTTTAGATCTTAATCGCTTTGTTTCCTCTACAAACTACAAGGAAAAAAATAGTTCGACTGAATTACTTAGGCAGAAAAAAAAGTAAAATTACCAAGTGAATTTGAGGTACAAAGTGTCCAAACTGTGCAATGGAAGAAGACAAAGTTAAGGCCACGAAAGTAGGTACTTTCCAAACTGATAAATCAACAAATGTTCGCCGTCGTCTTCTTTTCCTCAGATTCGCCTTGGCATCGTCGGGAGACAAGGTCGACTGCTCGGGACCTCTCGGGTCAGTGTTCTTCTCTTCTTCATTAGACTTTACATTAGGATCGAAGGTGATTCCAAGCAAACATATTGCAAATATAACCCCAGCCATTATTCTGTAGGTTGTCTTCCAGTCATACTTGTCTATAATTGTTTGTAGGAGTGGTCCCTGAGCTAACACCCCAAGCCCCTGACCAGCCGACACGAAACCGAGAGCCAAAGATCTTCGTCTGCTGAAATAATTACTGACAATAACAAGGCCGGCGTTAAAAACAAAGCTGACTCCGATACCAAAGAAACTGCTGTACGAAAGATATAACGTCACAAGTCGTTCCGACATGGAAGCGATGGCAAGGCTTGCAGCACAAATTAGACCACCAAGTATATTTGTTATCCTGCAACCGAGCTTGTTGACCAGGATTCCGGAAACAGGTCCAGTAAAAAACACAAGAGCAATAGAAAGAGAACCAACCCAGGCTACAAAAAATAAAATGAAATAAAATGTGTAAATGTTCCGTTAGCATAGATGACTGAACATAACTTTTAAATTTTTTCTTTCTCTCTCTACCCCCACCCTTTATTGTTTTTTCATGCCCACAGTTATTTTTCGACGTTCTCACTTTCTGAGCGCTTGGAACAGATTACTAAAATGCTTGTTAGCATATATCTAGCACGAAAATTGGATTTACACAAATTTACTCGGTGAAATATGATGCAAAAAAGTGCAAACGAGGGGGAAATCAAAAGCAAAGATGGTAAATACCGCATTTGCTTGACAGTTTACATGGGGTTGTAAATTTGAGGGCCAATGCGGAATTTACCATATTTGCCCTTTATTTAACCTTAGTTGCACTTTTTCGTGCTGTAGCAATGATTCCACCAAAACTGAAAATACAACTGGATTTTCTTTAGAATTCTCTGGTAAATCGGTAATCATAAAAAAGTAAAATAACCCAATGAAAACAGCTCAGGTTTTCGATTTGCCCTTAGAGAATATCATTTCTACTTTGTGGTACTTAAAACGGTGACGATATTTCAAATTTATTTTTGCTTCCCTTAATTAGGGTCACTATTCACAAACCTGGCTCTTGCCTTCTTGGCACACACAATTAACCTAAATTACCGGGGTTCGATTAAGTTCGATTAATAAAACGTTCGATTTGGTTCTTCTGGTAGTAAAGTCGGACAATACATCACGCGGCATGCCCGACGCATATCATTAACCAATTGTGTTTTCGCGAACTTTAAATGCAGCTTTTGCTTTTGCGAGAGTGACAAAGGATCTATTTGTTATTGGCATACTGATCTTTTGTTCAAATTGTAAATTTACACTTGGAGCTAGGAAAGAAACGTAGTTACAGCAAGGAATTACAATATGTCTTCATTCTCTACGTTTTCCAGAAGCGCTGAGAAACAGAGAAAAGCTGACCCTTATTTTTTGTGTTGATGTTAGATGTTGTGTTCGTTTCCACATATTTCAGTTGGTCAGAGAGAAAACACTTCACTGAACACAAACAATGCTCGTTGGAAACCAAGTTATTTAATCCAAGATCAAATTGGTTGATGAGTGTCACAAAGTCGAATCAACGGGAAATGGTGGCGTTTATGGGATACTTAGCTTAACCCTTTAGGCCCTAAGAGTGACCAGCATCAAATTTCTCCTTGTAATATCACTGCTTTATAAAACACAGTGGTCATGAGAATTAAGGATATGATCATACAAGATGAATCTAATTGATACTTCATCAAATTCTCCCCACTACTTCTATTGAAAACGTATAGGGATAACAAAAGAGAATTTGAATTTTGATGTTAGGGTTTAAAGGGTTAAGACAAAGTCTATGAGGTTATGATCATAATCAACAATCAGTCGAAAATACAAACCCAATAAGGGACATTATCTGTTTTAGGTTTCACCTCAACACCTTGTCGCCTTAAAAGAGTGATACAAAATTTAAATTACTAAAGTACTACAGAGGGACACAAAGGTTGCCCGATTCCCTCAGTAGAGGTTAATTGATAATATTGAGTCAGGTTTGCAAGGCTGGCTCGTTTTGCCAAGTTCTCGGGAGACGGCTCGTTGAAAAACGTAACAAAAATCAAGCTAGTCTCGGTAGCTGGGATCATGGTATCGTGAGGCCATACACCCGGGAAGCAGGAATGCAAATTTTCCATGTGATTAGAAAACAGACCTTTACAAGGGCTAATAAAGGCCTTGAAACACTGCTGAAAACACCAGAATTAACGAGAACGGCGTCTGCATATACATACCAGTGCGCTCTCGATCTTCGTTGAAGTGTTCCATAAAAACTGGAAAAAACACGCCAAAACTGAAGACAAAACCTACGGCGGCCATCCAGGACATCGTGGCGGCAAAACAGACGAGCCACGACCAGGGACCATCTTGATAGTGAGGTGTTTGCGACCTGCAAAACGTCAGCATTTCTTTAAGATTTCAAGAAGTCAGGATATTTAATACCTCTCAGCATCAGAATATACTTTCCAAGGACCGCAAGACCCGGGCCTAATTAGACGTGCTAAGGACAAAATATGTGAACGTAACATAACATGTAAATACTGGTAAATATAACTAGGCCTCTAGGGAATTCAGCTGCCGCAAAAATTACGCCCAATTGTAGGCACCCCCCCCCCCCCCC